CTCTGATGCTGCTTGGCCTGCTGTGTTCATCCAGCTCTATACCTTTTATCTCAGATTCTCCAGCATCTGCAGTTCCTACTATCTCTCTAATAAACAGCAATAGCTTGACGGTGGGAGAAGAACTTTCACAACTTGTTCCAATTTCAGATTCATCTGATGACCAGCTTTCTACAAGAGGCCTCACAGATTACTGAAAAGCATTGGCTTTCAAGACCCTCATTTCAACTGTAAGCATCATCTAAGAAACTACAGGCCTGCTGAGAGAAATCCAAATAATTAGCATTGTAATTTTGGCCCAGATTCTGGTTATTTTCAGAACAGATGCAATCAACAATAATCCTCTTTGAGATTACCTATTTACCTGCTGATGATTTATTTTCCTGCCAGAATTCAGAGTCTGACCTGTATTGAATGCGATCATCAGAAGAAACTGGGGAGAAATCCACACATTGCAGAAGCAGTGTTTCATGTACATCAGCAGTTAAATTGTGTAAAGCTCCCAAAGCCACTTTAACCGTGACTAAGATAAAGTACATTTGTTATGTAAGTGAGATGGTAGGTGAATACATTAAGACCTAGTGTGACAGATGGATAAAAGGACAGGGTGTTGGTTGGTTGGGGGTGGCTGCAGGGCAGGTGGGTTAGAGATAAGCTGCCAGGTGAGTGCTTAGGGTAGTTTGAGAAGGCGCGGTGAGGGTCCAGCAGATAGGCAGGTGTCAGGATGGAGGGGGGGCTGCTGAGAGTTAGGGTCATGACAGGGTGAGTGTTGGAAATGGGGGATATTGGTGATCTTGGTGATCTTGGGACCAACAGGATTAGGGAGGGAAGGAGATTTTCAAGAGGTTGGGGGGTGGGTGATGTGGCCATAGTTAACAGGATTAGTGGTGAGTCAGATGTTTGCTTTAACAATTACCCATGAATTACACAATAATTTTAATCCAATAACTGTGCTAATTAATTATTAAGTTTAAATGAGTCAGAACTCTCTGAATTCTCCAAATTTAAAGGGCTTTTCCAGAAGGTTACAGATGCAGGGCAATTGTTAATTAGAATTTTCACTTTTCTGGGCAATTCACTTGGAAGGGTAAGGCAATGGCCCAGCGGTATTATCATTATACTATTAATTCAAAGAGCCAAGTAACTTTCTGGGAACTGAGGTTCAAAGCCTGCCATGGCAGATGGTGGAATTTGAAGTCAATAAAAAATCTCGAATTAAGAGTCTAATGATGATCATGAAACCATTGTTGATTGTCAGAAAAACCCATCTCGTTCACTGATGTCCTTTAGGGGGAGAAATCTGTCATCTTACCTGGGTCTGGCCTGCGTGTGACCTACAGAAATGTGGTTTACTCTTAACTGCCCTCTGGGCAATTAGGGATGAGCATTTAAATACTGGCCTAACCAGTGATGCCCACACTGCATGAATAAATTAAAAAAAAACAATCAGCTGCATCAGGATTTTCATGTGATCCCATTGAGCAACTCCAATCTACAACTATCTGGCCATCAGAATTTCTGGGCCCCTATTGTTTCTTTCTTCATCTGTATCTTTGTGTGAATGATAATGTGTGTCAGCCAAGTGACTTTCATGTCACATCGTTAAAACTATGGGTCAAGTGTGGAATAATAAATAGTTTTCTTTATTTTAAAATGTTCATAAATAATTCCAGCAGCAAGTTCTTAAGTTTAGACAATCACTCTGAGGGCAGTGAAATACACACATCTCACATAATATACGTACTGATCACAGACAATAAGAAAACACTCTGGGGGATCGGTGAGCAAGTATTTGCAGGTGGGCATCTGTGTTGGTCAGCATTCACCAACATCTCAGGGCATGCTCCACATGTAGTGACTGCCTGCACCTTCCATCCATGGAGGTTGACATCAGCAAAGCACCAGCTGTACCACATCATCATAGCACATCCCCGACTCATTTATAATACAGTTCACCACTTCAGTGCTGCACTTTGGAGTTCACTGATACCTTATGTCGCAATCCTGTTGACAGGCTGCTTTGCAAGCAGGAACAGGCACCCACCTTATGCTTCCAACCAGGAGTTTCTCAGCTTGTTCTCTTAGCACTCACTCACTTTGTACCTTTGCTCATAGCATCTCTACCATGCCTTTCCTTTTAGCGCTTTGCCACCTCATTCAGTGCTTAAAGGCTCACGGTACTCTGTTCGTCTTGTCTTTTAGTGCGTACACAAAGCTAGACAGCCTGCCATGTTAGCTAGCGCTGAACAGTGCTACATTAATGTCAGACCTATGGCACATGCCAGCAGCTTAGCCAGCAAACACACTCCAAGTGCTCCAAAAATTGAAAAAAAAAAGGCCATGTCTCAAAGTCCAAAGGGAGCAGACCTTAGTCGAGAGGGACTCAACATTCAGAGAGTGTTACCACAGTCAATCAATTCATCAATCTCACTCCAGGGGGCTTGGACATGGACAGTTGACTGCTTAGGCATTCAGAGTAAGGGATTCCATATCATTCATTTTTTTTTACATTCACTTGTGACTGGCCAGCATTTATTGCCCATCCCAAGTTGCACTTGAGGAGATGGTGGTGAGCTGCCTTCTTGAACCACTGCAAACCATGTGCTGTAGATAGACCCAAAATGCCGTTAGGGAGGGAATTTCAGTATTTTGACCCAAGACCTGTGAAGGAATCAGTGAACCAACTCAGGACAATGAGTGGTTCAGAGGGGAATTTACAGGTGGCTATGTTCCCATGTATCTGCTGCCTTTATCCTTCTAGATGGAAGTGGTTGTGGGTTCGGAAGTTGCTATCTAAGGATCTTCAGCGAATTACTGCAATGCATCTTGTAGATAGTAGCAGCAGTGTGGACTGAGTGTCAATGGTGGAGGGAATGGATGTTTGTGGATGTGGTGCCAATCAAGTGGGCTGCTTTGTCCTGGATGGAGTCATCAAGCTTTTTGAGTGTTGTTGGTGCTGCACTCATTCAGGCAAGAAGAAAGTATTCTATCACACTGACTCATGCCTTGTGATGGTGGATAGGCTCTGGGGAGGCAGAAAATGAATTACTCGCCTCAATATTCCTAGCCTCTGACCTGCGTTTGTAGCTACAGAATGTATGTGGTGAATCCAGTCGAGTTTCTCGTCAATGGTAACCCCAAGGATGTTGATTGCTGGCAATTAAGTGATGATAATGCCTTTGAATGTCAAGGGATAGTGGTTATATTGTATCTTATTGGAGATGGTCACTGCCTGGCATCTGTGTGGTATGAATGTCACTGGTGAAGTCCTACAGGTCCAGTACAATTAGTCCAGAGAAGAGGGTTATATAATTCAGGGAGGTGTTCAGATATCAGTCAGGAGTCTGGTCAGTCACCAGTCAGGACTGACTTTCCAAGTCAATCAAGTGGTAACCCAAGGTCAGTCCTCAGGGTTTGTTCACTTAATGTCAAGAGAGGTTATCAGGAGCTGCTGCTGAGGCGGACAAGCCAGGGAAGCAATTTTGGGGTTTGGGAGAGGATGCATAAGGGATAATAATTGTGGAGGGGGAGCAACTCAATATAAGGCGAGGAGACAATAAAGCATTGAATGGTTACTAAATAAAAACCAAAAGAACTGCGGATGCTGTAAATCAGGAACAAAAACAAAGTTGCTGGAAAAGCTCAGCAGGTCTGG